TAGTCTGGATCGGATCCGGGCCCGAAGTGGACTCCGGCACGGAGCTGGTCCGTGCATCGGTCGGAGCAAGGAGAAGCGACTTACAGTGGCAGTGCGGCGGGTGCCGGTGCAGTCAGCCTGTACGGCCGTGCGCTTCTCAATGAAGGCGGTGCGAACAGAGGCAGCCTCCTCGCCGTTGACCTCAGTCTTGATGCTGTTGCTGCTGAAGGGAACAGCGCCGGCAATCTCGGTCGAGTCGGCATCGGCATAGAGGAAGGAGCCCTGAGTGACGATCTCGACGGCGCCGCCGGTGCTAAGGTCGTGGAGTTCGGCAGCATCGAACTCAACCTCAACGGTCTCGCCAGCAGCAACGATCTGGAAAGCTTCCTCAGTCAGACCAGCGGTGGCAATCTGAAGGCGGATGCCATCGAAGTCGATCTTGTTGCCTATCGTGTATTGAGTCAGCGTAGGTCCAGCCTTAGATCATAGACATAAGACTAACCGGCGGCGAAAACCTCGACCTTCTCAACGGGAGCCTTGTCAAGGAAGGTGCCGGTCTTGAACAGCTTGATGGCAGAGTCACCAGTGTTGGTGAGGGCAGCCTTGACACCAGAGTTGCCAATAGCCTCAAGCTTGACGTCAAGTGGGGACGTGTCGCGCTTGGCCATGTCAACGTTGACGGCGCTGGCCAAGGTCGCCAGCAGAGAAACGCCAATGGAGAACTTCATGATTGTTGCAAGAACCGGAAGAGCAAGAGCAGAGGCTGTCGATGAGGATCGAGTTGTGGATAGTGAGACAAAAAGGGCATATTAGATGGAGGTCGAGCTGCGTCTCTTTATACTTGAGTGATTTCCTCGACTTCATCTTTGGTCTCCTTCTGAGTATATCTCACACTGCTTGTCGATAAAGTTGCATCAAAGTCTCATCATGTCTGAGCTAGGCAGAAAAAGGAAGATAGAACGTCGCCCAGACTGCCTAGACGGACTTGGGACTAAAGCGTGGAAGGTGGAACGGGCAAGCCTAACCGATGCCAAGATAGCTAATATCAACCGGGACGGTAGTCAAGACTTTCTGCAACCGTCCAGTAGATAGAGAACTGACGGCATTGACCTCATCTATTGTCTACATCCAGACAGCCCTGCCGATCACAACCCCGCATTGGTCGTGCGAGGATTTCATGACACTAGTTAAGGTAGACAGCACATGGCACCAAGGAGGCATTGGTGATATTGGTGATATTGGTGAAATTGTTGCTTCTTCCTAAATCTCCGTTGCCATCGCGGATTCTTCAATGTAATCAATAAGTGCAGCGTTACCCCCGTGTTTTTTTTGGGTCGGCTATCTCGTGTTGACTTTGTTCTAGTGATACCAAAATCCGCCAGGGAGAATCACTTGAGCTAAAGAAGTGATAGAAGCAACGAGGCCTCGCGATCAAACTCCGCCAACTGGGACATCATCAACCGGGACCCCGGACGGGCTATTCCGCCGTTGGTGATTCCTTGCCGTGTCCAGTCGCAAAGTCAGGGGCTCTTCGCGTTCGGTAGTCTAACCCAACTTACGAGCAGCCAATTGAATTACACCAAGGCTGCAACCAAAGCTGGTGATCGTTGAGGCCCAGAATCAACGTCAAGTACCAATCTCCAATAAGATATTGCCAAACATGAGATGCCAAGGGGTTGCCAAGTGCACAAGCCGGAGACTAGCTCGAGGGAGGAAGGAGAGAAAAAAAGAATGAAACCTCGACTTCTTCGCCTGCTGCCAATGCTGCCGGTGCAGTTCTGGACTTAACGAAGGTCGGCCATGGTCAAGTCATCAGCTGGCTGACATGTATGAAAAAAACGCGCCTGCCGACCAATGATGAGGGGAGCGGAACATGCAGTCGGATGACTTCGGTTAACAGATAGGAGAATTATGTGGACGCTGGTGGAGCTCGCTACTTTTGAGTTATCGCCCCAAAGTTGTATTTGACCTGCAAGACTGTGAGCTGTTGACCCAAAGAGGGAGCTGCCAATGCGTGGTCGGTAAGCTCGGTACCTTAAAGCCATTAAGGTAGCTTTGCCGAGAAAGCAACTATGCGTGTGCCGACTGGCTGCGACTGATCAGTTCAGCAGATTCGACGTACAACATGTCCCAGGCCTCAATTTGCCCCTCCTGACAAGTCTTCACGCGTGTTGAGTGCCTTGACTTGGCTCGGCAAACCATCAGAAAAACACGCGACAAATGGTTTCCGAAAACAGCAGACCATGCTGTGCTTCTCCCCATATATTAGCCTGGGAACTCCAACAGACCTTCCTTCTTTGGCTCGGCTTTTGAGCTGCGAGGGGAACAGCAAGCCAGTGGAAATCAAACTAGTTTCTGGGCGCGGTACGTGAATGCTGCAGCTCATTTCTTATTGTCTCTTGGCTTCTGCTTGGCTTCCTCTTGGCGATAAATACCTTCACCTCCGCTCCTGACTCGACAGTGCTTCCCGCGCGGGCAAATCGCTTTTCCGAACAGCCAAGCTCAACGATGCTGGAATTTCGCAAGTCTTGTTGTGCTGTTCAGCTCGTATTCTGCAAAACCGCACCCTCCATTACGTGAAAGCTCATGCTCGTGCATCGGAGACACACAACAAAAGAAGAAGGTCTCTTAGAGATTCTGGAAGCGATCTGTCCACTGCCATTTTATGAGCTGTTTATCATGATAAGCAGACCGGGAGATAGTTGAATGTTGACTGCTTTCCCTTGATGGATCATGGAAGGGCTCAATCATGCAGGCTGAGGATGGTGGTCATGATAGCGGATCAGTGATGTCAGCCTTCGTTGCCCTAAATGCCCTCCCGATCAGATGCATGGAGAACATAAGACCTAACTAGAGTCCAGTTGCATTTAGAAGGCTGGGAGAAGGATCTTTTGGGCATGACGCTGAGAAAAACACGTCATGGCTCTCGGTTACAATTCTACAGAAAATACGTAAAGAAGAAACAGTTAACATGGATACTTTGAACAACTGTAGTTTTAATAATCTGCTCTGTGCAGTAAGGAAACACAAGATAGAAAACCGTGCTGCTTTATATTACGTCGAACACGAACAGCAGTTCCTGGCGTATTGTTTTATGAACGCTAGTAACGCTACCTATAAGTAATGCATCCTAATTTCAATTCCTTCTTGTAGATAAGAAGGGAAACAAGTTCAGGCAGATGCACGCTACCAGACACCCATATCTTTAGAATAACTTTTACAGCAGCTAGTAGAGCTCTGTCGATCGGGATTTCGGTTGTATCGGTTGCGTTTCCTGCTCTGCCTGATGTACGTGTAATGTACATGTGTCTTCAATTTTCCATCGTACAGCACGCTATGTTCACTACTGAGAGACTTTCGGGGAAATATCTCTGGGCGTATGATAAAATGTGACTTCTAAGTTCTTCAAGCACTGAAGGTACATGCGAATGAAACGCGAATAAGTAGGCCATCGAGATGTAATGCTTTTTTGCTTTACATACGATGCATATGTGATCTGAAAGAGAAAACTAAATGAGGTTGACGCCTTCTTGTTTTGTCTGCCCATCAGACGATGTTGAGTTGCTCATAGCAACAAACAAGGAATTAGGTTTCGGGGCTTTTTTGACCGGACCAAAACTTAAATCACCTACATTAGACTACCCTACTACTTAGATACCTTATCTGCCCTACTTATCTCACGTATTGCTAGTGTTGCCATCGTTCTTATATATAATTTTCATCGTATATAGAAGACTGACTTTCTAGAAGCACAATTGCCTGAACGACATCTACTCCATTCGATCGTCTTACCCATGAACTCAGCGTTATCAACGATATTCCCTAAGATGGTCAAGGGGTAGAGATGGTGTAAGTGCCAACATCACTGTGGAGGACCTGAGCACTCTAGTCAGAGGACAGGATTCAAAGTCACGAATAAGTAATTCTCCAAAATGAGATGAACGACCTTCAAAATGTCCTGTCCCGGCTGACCTACCTTAGTCTTTGTGTCTGCACAACGAGGACCATAGGCACTAAAACATGCTGGAGTTTACCACCAAAGCATGGAGCATTTCGCTTGCTTCTTGTAAACGACCATACAATAGACCGCTCGGACGTTAGGACTATAATAGCCATGATCAACTGATTTAGGAGCTCAGTTTAATGTCCTCACATCATTTACCCCATTCGAGCAAGGACGAGTTCTTCAAATTCCGTTCACTCGCGAACGACCTCCATCAAAAGTTGAACCATACAAGTCGATGGGAAACCCCGTGGGCTAAAAACCAGGAATCAGATCAGGCCTGAACTCACGCAAGCTAACGTTTGCATGTGTGTGATTCTTTACCAGAAGTCTCGGAGCAAATGTCTGTGCTGCTTCAATGCCAACTCACGCCGACTAGACGCGACATGATGTCATTGGGCGACGCAATCCCAACCTACCTCACTCACTGGCTCCAGGACGACTATGGTATGAAAATCACATCAGGATCTCGAAATAGCTTCGGATTCGGTTTCGGCGGTGCTATTTTACTTATTTTCACCGCGTTCCCCGTAGTTGCGGCCGAATGGGTCGTTCTGTGGTGAGCACATTGAACATTTTGGTGGTATTTTCTCGGAACAGCCCCACGACGACTTAGACGAGGATTACGAAAGCTGGGGAGGCGACGATCGCCAGCACTGTCGCCGCGTAATGCAACCCCAGGCGTTCAAGACTCAGCCATAATTCTGGTCAACGGAATGCTAGTAAAGCCGCTATATCCGTTGGGGACCATCATCCCATAGGCCATGTTCTGAGCTTTGAACCTAGACGGCTACACCGATCCTGGCTACAAGCGTAGCGAAAAGCCATGTCTTGCGGCCATAATTATACATGTACGCAAATGCTGTAGAAGCTTTGGAATGAAATATGTATAACCGCACTATCTGCTGTGAAACATATATTGAATCACGGTTCCCGATTCACCAATACCCATTCCATCCATACTCTCGACTCTTACACCCTTTCTGACTTGCCGGACTGTTTCGTCCACTTACCAACAATGGTGCAAAAAGCCGTCATCGGCGCTGCACTGGCTCAGGCCGCAAGCGCAGCTCTTTACGATACTACAATTCAGACAAAATATGGACTGATTCAGGGCTACCCGGCCTTCAATAGCTCTCCGGCGAATATGTCTCTTGATAATTGGGCAGATATCACCGTCTGGAAGGGCATCCCCTTTGCTGCCTCTACCGCAGGCAGCAATCGCTTCAAGGCTCCTCAACCCATCGTCGCATGGAACTCAACTCTCGACGCCAAGTCATTCGGCAGTATCTGCCCTTCTGCCGTGGGCAGTGGAACAGATGCCTACACCGTTGGCGAAGATTGCTTGAACCTCAACGTATGGAGCGCAGCAAACTCGACTGATGCCAAGTTGCCTGTTGTCATGTGGAGCTATCCGGCTGGTTCGACTGCAGCGATGCCGCTTTTCGACGGAGCAGGCATCGCCGCCAAGGGCGTTGTGTACGTCAACTACAACTACCGCACCGGGTCTTTCGGATGGCTTGCAACGCCTGAGCTTAACCAGGAAAGACTTAGCACCGCTGGGTCGAACAGCTCCGGCAACTATGGCATGTTGGACCAGTTCGCCGCTTTGAAGTGGATTCATGAGAACATTGCCAGCTTCGGTGGTGATCCGGACCACATCACAGTCATGGGTCAGTCCGCCGGCTCGGCGGCTACTTACCATATGCTTAACGGCCCTCTACACGGCGTTCCTCTCCATGGTGCCATCATCCAGTCTGGTGTCCGCGACCCCCACGACCCCCTGTGCACTAGCTTGGCAGAAAACTACCGGAGTCTGGACGTGAACATGGAGACGGCGAGCAGATACATGGCCTCGATGAACTGCTCTGATATCGCATGCATGCGCGCTCTTCCGATGGAAGATCTTGTCACCGAATTCCTCAACTCCGAATTCGATTTCACGGCCACACTCGACTACTACGCCATGCCAGACACTTACATCAATACTCTGGACAAGGGAATCGCCCAGGATGTCCCTGTCATGACGGGCAACACGAAAGACGAGAGCGGGGCGGAATACGGCCTCAACATCACTCTGGCGACATACATCTCTGACTTGAACGAGACATTCAGCACTTGGCAGGACAAGTTCCTCGCCGCATACCCTGCCAACGACTCGGCCACCGCTTCGGCAGCTGAGAACTCCCAATGGACTGACCGCTCAAAAGTAGGAACATTCTTTTGGTCGCAGTTGTGGCAAGCCAATGCTACGTCGTCGGTCTACAACTACATCTGGGATCACGCCCCACCTGGGCAGACTCGGGGCGCGTTCCACATGAGCGAGATCAATTACGTTCACAACAATCTTTACGGAACCGACTCACCATGGACTAGCGAGGACTACGAGATTGCCAAGATCATGAACAGTTACTGGGTCAATTTAATTAAGACTGGCGATCCGAATGGAGATGGCTTGAACCAGTGGACTCCTGCGAGCAATGCCAGTGCGACAGTAATGGAGCTTGGTGATGGTTTCCAAGCCCTCCCTATCGCCAAGGACGACCAGATTGAGTTATTTGCTCAATGGTTCGATACCTTGGTTACCTACTAGGGTATCTAGACACGTGTCTAAGCGGAGCCACTATCAAGCTGCGAGCTTGTTGCATCAACTGTCTTAGGAGGAGTCGCCTGGATTATGTGTTTATATCTTACTTCTTGTATCTTTCAGTCTTATAGCTATTTCACAACCATCCCGTCGCACACAGGGTCCTCTAAATATACTTATCATGACATGCATCATCATCCGAACCAATATGTGTATGTGCGGAATCTAAATCGCCGAAGTCCTTTTTTATCTCTGCGATCTTTGCTTATTTGGGGATCTTGAACGGATGTGCCTCTGTGTTGAGAACGTAATCGTCCAGGCTAATGAGATCCGGTGGTGAGAAAATGAGATAGAAGTACTTGAGGGTCTCAGCAAGCCAGAAGCTCTGTAGAGGAATGAATTAGCAACTCGTGTCACTCAAACATGAAGAACAAGCAAAGCAGAGATCTGTCGCGGGACGTTTGCCAATGCTCACCTCCATCTCATCCAATTTTCTCGTCTGATCCGGCGGAACGGTAACATCAGCTATAGCTGAATGTGCGTGCTCTGTTTCTGTTGCTTTCAGAATCGACTCAAACATTCGCCAGGCAACATCTTGAAGATCTTGTCGGCCCGTCATCCTGTACAACAGGAATATGCTCTCGATAGCTTCGGGACGGAGAATGTATCTCGGGTCGCGTGCATTCCGAAAACCCTTCTTCAGCCTTGGATCCCCCTCGCTCTTCCATCTTGGCTCATCCCAGAGGCATTCGTCGTCCTTTTGGGTGTCCCCGGTCTTCCGGGCCTCGCAAGGGATGAGATTGAAGTTTTCCGGCATCACGCCGGAAGGAAACGCGTCGTACGCCCATGCACACCCTCGTGCGACCTTCTCACCGAGAGCAACGTGATTGTCGACGGAGAAGAGCCTGCCCCCAAGACCAAGCATACCGCCCACAAAGCATGCGAGGTGTTGGCCATCGGATACGTGCTCGATTCGGTCAGCATAGATGAAGGCATCGCCAGCGAATAGGATGTCGTCCCGATCTGGTACCATAGGCCGGAAAAGGATGTGTTGCTCTACTATTGCCATGGCCCCAATGTACATCTTTTCGTAGGATGGATCTCGGCCGCCGAGTAGCGCAAACATTTTGGGTAGATATTCGTAGAGTGAATCCGCCAAGGCTCCCAGCGTGAAACTGTTGTCCGTATCGACTCGTTCCTCTCTGAAATTAATCATCTTCGGCCACATCCCGGGAAGCTTAGACTTGAACTGCGTTCCTTCCAGAAACCTCGTAATGCGATCCACGGCGTCGAAGTATTTCGGATTACCCGTCAGCTGGGATAAACGGGTAAACTCCATAGCTAACGAGCCCGGGGAAGCTGACGGATCGTGCGTGCCAGCTAGCTGAGTTCCATTCCTAGCGTCTTCAAAGTTGACCCAAAAGCCTGGCAGGCGGTTTGGCGTATCGAATCCCATGTAAAGCATGTCCCCCAGCTCTTTCGCTTTCTCGAGGAGGGCAGGCTCGCCACTGAGATCGTACGCACTAAGTAGGCCGCCCAGATGTCTTATCGTGGTTTCGAACATGTTCACGCTGGTGGCTGTTGTGTTGGCCCAATCCAACTTCACGGCTACGTTGGCCGCTGCGCGAAATTCGTCCTTGAGCTCCATGATCCAGAGTGTGTCGAGAGAATCCACCAGTGTCGCAGCCCATCCTCCAAATGTGTCCTTGGCCCCAGCACTTACGGGCGCTAACTCATCCCGACCCCAGGCAAACTTCTTGTAGCTGTTCCAACTCCGGATGAATACATCACGGACAGCTTTCTGTCGCTTCGGGGCCTCTGGATGCGGATTGCCTACGCCGAATTCGTGCTGGATTGAAGGAAGGCTTAGTGGTTTGCCTGTTGGTAGAGGCTTGAAGGAAGTGACGGGGTGGTGTTGCTCTACTGTCGCCCAGTCGAAAGAACTCTTGCGGAATGTCATCTCCTCAGGCTGGCTGCTGGTGCTGGGGAATAACAGGATCGGTCTAGACTCGAATGGAGGAAACAGTAAGAAGACTGTGACGAAAACTGCGGCGAGAAAGACAGCCAAGCGAACGGGGCGCCGTGGCGCAAGTAGACTCTTCGAGCGCATACGCATCTCAACGGTATCAACACCAGACGCGCATCGTGCGATCTTCCGGGTCTCGAAAGTTGTGACCAGACGAGCGCAGTATGGCTGAATAAAGCAGCCAATCTACCGTTGAGACGAACAAACTGGCCTTATTGCAAGAGGCCTGGGCAGACATGAGCTTCATATAGCTCGGTAATTTCGGTCAGTTTCAAAGGCTATTCGTAGTGGAGGGTTACGCGGATCGTTGTTGTGGACACTCAGAGATTGGACCGTGGGAGCTTCATGCCGGATAGCGTTTGTTGCAGGAAGGTAGCATTACCATGTTGCAGGGAAGTCTGCCGGCGGGAACAAGACGACTAGCAATTTAGAGTGCACTGATCGACAAGTTTTGTTAGACGAAACAGTTTCGATCAAGTTGCGGGACAAACTCAAATTCAATGCCATCTCCTTGCAACCATCGACGTCTCTCCTACTGGTTACCAACGCACGGGACGGAGCCGAAACCGACGAGGCGAGCACTCGCGTTTGGCTGAAAGTTGGGATGTTCCGGCAAATTGCTCTGTTGATTCGTTAATTTGTCACCAATTCAGGCTTCTCGATGAGCTGATCATCCGTGTCCTAGGCCGGACGAACCCGGGAATTCCAAGACCCTACTTGACTGAGTTTCTGATCCCACTCAACTTGAGTTGTCATTGAAAACCTTATTTGTTCCACACAACCACAACAAGCTTTCTACTGTGGTAGAACAGTCGGTATCGCTTGTCAGGATCAACAAGAAAGCCTCGCCGCACTCTGCTGCAAGCGATACGCGTCGCGTATAGAGATGCCAGGTTCCTGGACAACTGCGGGGTCGACAACATATGAGAAACTTGGACGTGCATTTTGGCACAGTTACGCTAACCTGAACATCATTCTAAATTCTTGTTTTTGCCTCATCTAACAATAATGCCAGGTTCTGAATAGCTGCCAGACCATACAGCGCGGTGACATTGGTAGAAACCCCAAGAGCCTCATCTGCGGGCTCTAGAACGTGGTTCTTGTTCACCGGGGTGCTTTTCCAGACAGCGTTCGGACCATAGTCCCGAAAGCCATCCCCATTCCCAAATTCTTCCAACGCGCGTTTAGCCAGATCAGGTCTATTGAGCTCCTTCGCCGCATAGGCAGTCAAGCGAGAGTGTCCTTGTCTTAGCTGCAGTCTGCCCCAGCCAGGTTGGCTGTATCGATTCTCCTGGTCCTCTAGACTAGCGTTGAAGAAGATGCAATACTCTAGCCATGCATGCCTGAACCCAGTTGCGTCTGCTTTCTCTGGAAACTGCTGCAGGATATCGACCGCCACCTCAAACAACCCGAACATTGCTGATAGGTGGGAAACCTTCACTACCCCTTGATTGTCAGGATCTGCGGCGGGTGGTGAGATGGCTCCGGTTGACGGATTATAAGTCGCATTCCCGGTAACAAAGCCGTTGGCAAGGGCGCCAATCCCTTCAACTGACCGGAATAGCTTACTCTTGGCCTCAGTCCATCGTGGCCCTCGTCGCTCAACCTCGACAAGCCAGGAGGCTGCTAGCGATGCCCAGTCAGTTCCCAGGCTGATCTCGACAGCATGCGCATCTGGGCTGTAGGTTTCTCTGTCCTTTCGGACCTTTCGGTACGGATCGAGGACCAGAAACTTTTGATCCGTATCAAGGGTCTCTTCGAGAAGTTCTCCAACACGTTCGTCACCGCCAGACAGGTAGTAGAAGAAGCGGCGATACAAGGCGTTCGATATACGGGCTTGTTTGCAGCTATCGCTCCAGTGCTGCACGCCATGTCGTGTACCGAGACCCTTATAACGCCCAAGATGGTAAACATCCACCTCTCCAGTATGACGAGTCAATGCTTCCGCCATGTGAAACACATCAGCTCGACCGGCCCGCAGAAAGTACAGCCAGAGCCATAGATCTGGTGATAGCTCAGAGTTGTCCCAGGCGTATCCGCCAACATCGTATCGCCAGGTGTGTCGGTCTTCATCATACGTGTGCATGATATCGCCATGGTCCCAGAACCCGTACCAACGCCGTTGTTGTACTTGCTTCTCGTAGAATTGAAACAGGAACTCGAGGCGTTCGTCGGTGGCTGAAAGGCCATTGGCAGACGTATTCGACAATGAAGACCAGTATGTACCGAGAGCTTGACTAAGGTGAATGGCTTCTGGGCTAGGCAATAACTTTGGAGGATCTCGGACGAGGTCTATGAGTGATGAGAACTCATTGCTATCTGGCGTTGAGTCCGTCACCGATATCATCAGCTCATTTGTGCGCGCTATCCCGTAAGGCGACCCGAGTTCTGGCTCCCAATCCTCGTAAGTGATCTTCAGGGCGTCTAGCTGATCGTCAAAACCTTGTTGACCTAAGCCGTCATGATAAGGCCGAAGGTCCATGGGCCCGGCTTTGGGGTCGTATAGCCAAAGTGTTACCTCGGTGTCTTTTTGAGAGGCGCCAAGGCCTCGAACGTCAATTCCGGTCGGGTATCGTTCCCAGAAATGTCTCGACGCGATGGCTAATCCTCCGCGATTAGCACCACCGACATAAACAACTCCTCCCGCCTTGGTACCACTGGCGGTCTTAATCCACGGATGACCTTCCCTCAGTCGCTTCTCGAGCGTAAACCCATCTGGCGAGAGTTGATGCAAACTGAAGTCATTCCAGATGGGCACCCAGCGCAGAGAAGCTTGAGGTAGCTCCGGGTTCCAACTATCAGGAGACGGCAAAGGCTTGCCCTGCACCTGAGCGGACCTGATCTCTCGCCCAGGATCCTTCCAAAGTCCAGTCAGCCCTTGAGAAGCCTCGGCAAGAACACCCCCTGATGCTCCAGAAAATCGTACATGACGATCGAAGGCCGCTTCTTCTTGGAGAGGTACCTTGAGGCGGATTCCGAT